AAAGACTCTGCCAAAAGGCTCTTAATACTGATAAATGACTTCAGTTTCAGGATACAAAATCAATGTACAAAATCAGTAGCAGTTCTATACACCAATAACATTCAAACAGAATTAAACAAAAATGGAATCTCATTTACAAGAGCCACACACAAAAAAATACCTAGGAATATGTCTTCTGGATTTTGAAGGCCCATTCTTTCAGGGGAATTGGAACATGATTGATGACTGCATGTTTTAGGAAGGCAAATTGTAACTCAATGTAGAGAAACATTTCATGCCAAATGGCAAATGGGTACTTGGTAAAGGTGTGGGATTCTCACACAGAAATCAGCTGGGCAGAGGCTAAAGAAACATCTGTGCTTCTATAACACATACACATCACTACGATAAATTCAACCAATGCAGTAGAAAAGCAGCATATTGGCTGGAGACTTTCACGTTGCCCCTCAGACCCGTTCTCCTCCTTTCTCCACCCTGTTCTGGGCCTGTAAGGATCATAGCAGCAGGTTTCCTGGTCCCTGTGGCTCCTGGGGGGTCAAACAACGGAAACACTGGCAGGAGATGAGAGAGAAGACAGAGACTGATGTCAGAGAGTTTATCTTTCCCAACCCCTTACGCCTCTTTCCTGTTGGGGCCACCTGAGGCTGACTGCATCCTGCACAGCTCCCATTACAACCTCTGGTCCCTTCCCCAGGGATCGAATCAGGGCCGTTACCCTCCCTTCCTTCATACCTTCCAGCCTAAGAGTGTAACGAGTAGCAGCACTGTTACCTGCTTTGGGATCCTGCCCACAGCTTTGTAAATCATCTTATTAAAATCTCCTCAAATTCCCCCATGTGGGTGCGCTGCTTGTTTCCTTCTGGAAGCCTAACTGATTCAATCCGTGACTTTGAGGCCCCTCACATTAGAAGAAATGCATACGGCATCTCAGCCATCTAGGAAGAGAAGGCTCGACAGCAGGATTAATTGTGAAAATGCCAAATAAAACCAAAGGGATATCATCGCACACTCGCCAGATTGGCAAAAGTTAAAAAACACTTGATAGTAACACATTTTGGCAAGAATGTAATAGTGGGAACTCTCACAAACCAATGGTGGGAGTGTAATTGGATACAAACACTTCAGAAAATAATTTGACATTTCCTAGAAAAGTTGAAAATGTGCATAACTTATGATCCAGCTATTTCACTGGCAGGCATAGACCAGAATGTACATCCTAGCGATGTTTATAACAGAAAAAATCCTGGGAATAAACAACCCAAATGTCCCTGGAGAGAAGAATAGATAAATACATCATGGTATACTCACAAGATGAAATATTCTCTGGAAATGAAAAATAAATAAATAAACTCACCTGTATTCCCAGCACTTTGAGAGGCTGAGGCAGGCGGATCACTTGAGGTCGGGAGCTTGACACCAACCTGGCCAACATTATGAAAGCCTGTCTTTACTAAAAAAGATATAATAAATAAAAAAATAAATAAGCCAGATGTGGTAGCACGTGGCTGTAGCCCCAGCTACTTGGGAGGCTGAGACAGGAGAATCACTTGAACCCGAGAGGCGAAGGTTGCAGAGAGCCAAGATCGCGCTACTGCACTCCAGCCTGGGCGACAGAGCGAGACTTTGTCTCAAAAAAAAGAAAAGAAAAAATTAATAAGATAAAGCTACACACATCAAAACAGTTGATGTTCTAAACACAATGGTGAAAAACAAAAGCAATTTGCAGAACATCTTCAGTATGATTCATTCATAAAATGGTCAAAGGTGTGCAAAGCAAAATGAGACTGTTTAAAGGATGTGGTAAATCTGCAAACACAAGCAGAGGAGTAACAGACAAAAAAACTCAAGATGTTGTTTACTTCTGATATTCGGGGGTTTGTAGAGGTATACCCAGGGACTCTTTGAGGATTGGTAAAGTCTATCTCATAAGCTAGGAGGTATTTAAATTATTGTTTTACTTTATATTTGTGACATACATTTTAAATATTCTTTTCGCACGTATTCCAATTTTAACAAACTATTAAAGAAGAAGTCAAAAACGCCCACAATAAAAACTTAAGTATGATATTAACTAACAGATTAAAAGAAAACTGTGACACTGTTTGTAGTATTTTAATGCTGCTGCATGGTAAATTACCACAAACTTAGTGGCTTAAAACATCCCACGTATATTATCTCCCATTTTCTGGGCACGTCTCACCTGGATGCCCTCCCACAAGGCTAAAGCCTCAGAGATTTTCTCCATGTCCCCAATTTTTTCTGGGCTCTGTCTATGATTACCTGCTACTGCCTATTTTCTTTACTGTACATATCACTGTTTGCAATTACTTGTTCACTTATTAATGATCTGTGCCTTCCCCACCTACAGACTAAAAGCTCTGTGAGGACAGGGGCTATGAAAAGGATAGTTTGCTCACCCTGGTATTCCCCAGCCTCCCCACATGGCAGAGGCCAGGTGGACTGTGAGCAGAAGCGACTTGTGTCACTTCGGGACCAAATCATTAAGAGCCAAGGTGTCTTCTTCACTGCAATTTTCCCCTGCTGCCATGACTGTTTGGAAGCTGCCTGTTTCAGATGGTACAACCCCAGGAGAAGGAGGGCCTCCAACCTGCACCAGATTTCCATGAGCAAGAAGTACATATTTTGTCATGTTATGCCAGGAAGATAAAAAGCTCAGTTTGATTCCTATAGTACTCCACATCCTAGTTTGACTTTTTTTTGTTGTTTTCTTCATCATTTTACCTTCAATATTTAGAAGAGTGTCTAGGACATCATAAATGCCCACTGAGAGTGGTTGCAAGAAGGAAAGATGGGAAGAATAAAGGAAGGGTGGGAGGGAGGGAAAGAGGAAGAGAGAGAGGGAAGGAAGGAGGGAGGGAAAAAAGAGAAAGAGAAAAAGAAGAAGGAAAGAAAGAAAACGGGGATGGAGGGAGGGAGGAAGGAACAGAGAAGAGAAAGAAATTGCTAGTGAGGAAATTTAACATGAAAGGAGATACTTACATAGGGCCTTCTCCTTCCCCATGTGTACTGTGACATACTCCAATTTGTAGCCATTAGACCTGACTACAGACTCTGCCACTTACTAGGCATGTGACCTTGGTCAAGTCACTCACCTCTCTGATTCTCCTCATCTGTAAAATAGGGATAACAGCACAGGAGTGCTGAATTTTTCCAAAATATGCCCTCTTCTTATTTACCTCATTGTTAAATGTATTCAGCATTTTAATGTGAAGTGCTAAAGCATATTATATATGTATTTTAGTGTCTAGTGCTCATACTTCATTTTTAGAATCTTAAATTTTAAATTGACCTGACTCTGTAACTACTTTGCAAAGTTGTTTGGACAGTAAATGTGTAAAAATTCTCCAAATGCTTTACAAACTGTAATTTAATATATAAATAGGAAGCATTATTGCAGTTCAACTTCGTTTGGCTTTGCTTTGGGCTAAATCTATTAAACAGAAAATTATTATACACATCAATATTGGTTAGTAGAGAGATAAAAGAATGAGAAAAAGTCATAATGGGTATATTTCTATATGGAAATATATATATTTAGTCTAACCACAACTAAATCAAGGCTATGTCTTATGTGGTTGTCAGTAATAAAATTATAGGTGTTGATCATCTAAAAATGGCTATAACATGGAAGTAACAATATTATACTTAAGAGTAGCTTGTGTTTTTTTTCAGGCCCTGTGTTGTCATTCCCAAGAAGGGATGGCAGAGATGGGAGCTATGAGGTGTAAGAGTATTGGCCTAAACAAAGTCATTAGCAGAGCCTGAGCTGGGAGCCCAGAGGGCTGGCACAAGTCCTAGGCATAACATCTGATGTCTTCTCCTATTACTAAGGAAATTAGAAGCAGAAGAAACCCAGGGACACATTCTGTAAAGATTAGAGAACACTCTTCCAGTTGAAAAAGAAACAGAAGTTGCTCCAATAAATGGGTGGGGAACCACATCAGAGACACTGTTTAAGAGAGAAAGTTGAGCTCTAGAGAGTAGTCTGAACTACACTTCTGAAATTAGTCAGTCAATTCACAAATACACCTTCATATCTGTCCCGTGTCCAATATAGTAGCTTAATAATAGAAGAGCTGAAACTTTCCTGAATTCCCAGTGACACATCTTTTTTTTTTTTTTTTCCAGACAGTGTCTCACTCTATCGCCCAAGCTGGTGTGCAGTGGCACTATCTCGCTCACTGTAGCCTCAACCTACCTGGGCTTAGGAGATCCTCCTGCCTCAGCCTCCTGAGTAGCTAGGACTCTAGGTACGCACCACTAAGCTTGACTAATTTGTTTACTTTTTCTATTTTTTTGTAGAGAGGGGGTCTTGCCATGTTGCCCAGGCTGCATCCTAAATTTTCAGATTATCAGTGTTAAGTTGAGTAAGAAATGTGTTATATACTGGGTTCACATATTTTAAAATCTTCTTTCATATGTATTTATTCAGCACTCACTGATGAATAAATTAGACACAAATCACATAAATCAACAGAAATCATAGGTTTACACATACTCTGTAAGCTTGATTGTTCATGCAGTGGAGGAACCAATCCTCAACAGCTCCTCTCAGCCATGAGGCACAGTGATTTCTCACAAGACAAAGACAAGCTTTCTTTTCACACCATTGTCATACACAAACATATTTTGCATTTTGCAGTCAGTTGGCCTCTACTCTTCCTTTTATAATTGCCTGATGGATTCTAGACCAGGCACAGGAGTGCTGAATTTTTCAAAAAAAAAAATGCCCCTTTTAATTTACCTCATTATTAAATGTATTCAGCATTTTAATATGAAATGATACAGCATGTTATATATGTATTTTAGTCTCTAGTGCCCATAATTCATTTTTAGGATCTTAAACTTTAAATTGACCTGACTCTGTAACTAAGAAGAGTAGAATCCAGTAGTTTTGACATCTAAATTCTTCCATTTTCTGGATGGAATCAAGAAGAGTAGTAAACTTAAAAACAAACAAACAAACAAACAAACAAAAAAACTGAATCCACTTCAAAATGATCACATTTAATTTATTTGATGATAAAGCAGAATCTAAATTTGTGGTTCAAACTCAACTTGAGAATTAAGCTGCACAAGCAATAAGAGCACTGTTTTTGATGCTTTGGTAAAACTTTCTTTGCTGCTTACTAGTCTAAATTAATATCTAGTCTTACTTTTGAAAACGCTCAGATAGCCTTGAGTTCGGGGCTGTGGCTTCCCTGGGGGATGTAGACATTACCTTCGCATTTCCAGTATCCACAAATAGCTATTCATCTTTTCTTGAATAAAAGGTCACATACTCTTTTGTGGCTGTCCACCAAAGTCCAGTTTTCTGCCTGTGAAAACAGCTTCAGCTTTCAGCTCATTTGCAGATCTAGATGAAAAGTCAGAGATGAGCTCATTAAGCCCTTCTAAATTTGGACGAATTCCCCCACTTCTCTGGGTTCTCTTTGATAATTCAGCTCTTAGGTGCCCCATAAGGAAGTGGCCTTCCAGAATTCTATTACTGCATTTTTACAGCATCAAAAAGGTTTTTTTTTAATATACAAGTAGAATTTTTATCTAGGGAAAATAAGCCATCGAATATTAAGAAAATGTTACGGAGTTCCAGTTATTATAGCAATAATTTTCAGATACAGTAGCCATTATGAACTGGTTTTTTTGGTTACATTTACAGAGTTAGTAAATATATCTTAGTAGTAGTAAACATATGTTTTAAACTTTAGATTTCAGTAAATAAGTCCACATTTCGAGCTGAGATAACTTGTCCAACCAAATCAGTGTTTAGGTATGTCCTATAATTTATCATTTACTTGTCAGCTTTATTATCCCGCAGTGAATGCCTGCCTAGGGGTGGGGGGCTTTTACTGGGCTTACTAGGGTGTTGTTGGATGGGGAAGGGGAATAAGCACCTTACAACTAAAGCATCTTCCATCTCTTTCAGGAACCTCTTTTAGATCTAAACTGACAGGGAATGGTGGTGTTTTCTATGAAAAGCATGGCTATCTCCGGTTTTCAAACTAGCAAATCTGAGTCTACCCAGCAGAAGGTGGAGGGGCTCCTTGGTAATTGCCTGGACAACGTAGGCAGTAGATGCTATCAAACCAGATTATCATGACTTCAGATTGGAATATGACCAGGCTGCCCACATATTGGGTTTTATTTTTTTTTTCTTTTCAGAGACAGGGCCTTGCTCTGTCGCCCAGGCTGGAGTGCAATGGCATGGTCACAGCTCACTGCTGCTTCAACCTCCTAGTCTCAAGCAACCCTCTTGCCTCAACTTCTCAAGTAACTGGGACCACAGGCATGTGCCACCACACCTGGCTAATTTTTGTGTTTTTTGTAGAGAAGGGGGTCTTGCTATGTGGCAAAGGCTGGTCTGAAAATCTTGGTCTCAAGAGATCCTCCTGCTTTGGCCTCCCACAAGTGCTGGAATTACAGGTATGAGCCACCATGCCCCAGCCTGTGCACACATCTGAAATTAACCAAATCGTCTGCTAGTCTCTACTTGACAGACTTCTGTACACAAAACATCCAAGACCGATTACAAAGGACAACAAAAGGCAGCAACAAATCGTTAACTTCTGTGACCTTAATTATATCATCTTAAAATTGGGCTCATGCCAATCTCAAAAAAATTTTTTTTTTTTTTTTCAGATGGAGTCTCACTCTGTCACCAGGCTAGAGTGCACACAATCTCAGCTCACTGCAACCTCTGCCCTCAAGGTTCAAGTGATTCTCCTGCCTCAGCCTCCTGAGTAGCTGTGATTACAGGTGCATGCCACCACACCCAGCTAATTTTTACATTTTTAGTAGAAACAGGGTTTCATCATGTTGGCCAGGATGGTCTCAATCTCCTGATCTCATGATCTGCCCACCTCAGCCTCCCATAGGATTACAGGCATGAGCCACTGAGCCCGGCCTCAAAAGATTATTAAGACAATATTTTGTTGTCACTTTTGCTTACAGAAAACACTCAATAAATATTTGTTAAATAGATGACCCCAAAGTGCTAGCTTAAAGTTCATTTTTTCGGCTACCAATGGAAACCTAAGTATTTTGGCTCAGAGAAGCCGACATGTTAGCACTTTGATACAACGTAGTTCATTTAAATTAGGTGACCCACTAAATTGTGTTGGAAAGGCCTTGGATATCATGTCCCAGCTAAGAAATCTGGAAATTACTGAGAAGAGAAATTTGTTATAAGGAGCTCTTCAACCAGGGTAGGCAAAAAGCAGCATTATGGCGAAGAGCAAGTTTTAAAAAAGACCCAAGAGCAAGGCCAATCATCTTCCAGATAATCTGGCCTATAGTGAGATTCAAACCATAAAACATTCTCATGGTGAGTGACTTAGTTACAAACATTACCGTTCAAGCGAAAATGCAGATCCTGTGCCTGACTGCAAGCCTTCTTTGTGTTTTTTATTCTATCCTGCAGGAGAACTCTGCTATATAGTTTATTCCATTCCTCCAGAGAGTTAATATGGCGGCTACCTTCTTTAGACTGCATTAAAATTACCTTAAAGTATATTTTATCGTTATAGACCTGAGAAACTCCCATTGTTTCTAAATACTAAGTTTATTATTCATAGTTTAGAACAAGGACAAAATGCCTTTGTTCATTGTTCCAGTCTGTCTTTCTGCCCTGGACTAACCACTACCTGATTCCTGGAAAGGAGAGTCAGGCTGCTCTAGTTAATTATTTACTGTGAAGCATTTGCATCACATGTCAGATAAAGGTTTACGCTGTCCACATAAATCTCTACAACATTCGGTGTCACGTATCATAAAATATGAGACCAATTATTTTACATGTACAAAGTTGTTCATTTTCCCTATTTCCTCAGTGCTTTGGGATGGGATGGGCGGTTTCTTTAACTCAAGGTTAAACGTGTTGGCATAACTTCGATAAAAATTGAACGTGCTGGCATAACTTAGATAAAAATTGGTGGTTGCCTGGCACACTTCCAGCATCAGAGGTAATCACACCACAGGTTTCTGTTTGCACCATTTTACACGATTACTTTTTGTCTATAGCATCCTTTATAAGTTTCCTGTTTTCATTTGTTTTGTAAGTGACGGGGGTCAGGGGGTGGAATCTTTAGTAACCTAGATCACCTGAGACTCCAGATGCCTTTTTAACCTTAGCTGTGGGTATGACATGCCCACTTGAGCAATGAAAACCATGTTGAGTGTTGGAGACAGTGTCACCTGCAGTGACTACTGAGAAGCATTGTAGACCCATAAACAGGCCTGACCAAACCTTTGCCCTTGCACAGCATCTGGAGACAAGAGCACACATAGGATAACAGAGCTAATGAGTGTCAACGTCAAGAACAATAAGGTAGATAAAAACCTCATTCTCCCCACAGTGTGATCTTAGCACAATTGGGCTATATTTTACTCTCCAGAATTCAAAGTTTTGTTTTAAATTCTGCACATCACAGCCATACTAAATATCCCCTTAGACAAGACACAGAGCTGCTGAGTAAGACCCCTGCAAATCAGCAATGCTTTTTCATAAGACCAGCATCCATAATTTATATCTGCATACAATTAGCCTGTTTACATTTACACATTTTTTGCTTCCTTTTATGTGAAATATTCCACAGGATAGTTGGTAATGCATTCAGAATAACCTTTTTAAAATAAAGACTCCAGGACCAAACAGTTTATAAAATCCAATACCTAATAAATACTTCATATGAATAAAAAGTGTTTTCTTAATCAGAAACAGTATATTTTATTTGAGCTATCCTTTCTTGCCTCCCAGGCCAATGGCCCGGCATCATATGGATCTTTACTTTTTAAATGTATGCAGAAAAAAAAAATGCTACGGTATTTCTTGGTGGTTGCTTGCATACAAATACAAACTCCAGCTCTGTGGCCCAGGCTGGATTGCAGTGGCATGATCTAGGCTCACTGCAACCTCCATCTCCCGGGTTCAAGGGGTTCTCCTGCCTGAGCCTCCCAAGTAGCTGGGATTACAGGTGCTCGCCACCACGCCTAGCTTATTTTTGTATTTTTAGTAGAGATGGGGTTTCACCATGTTGGCCAGGTTGGTGTTGAACTCTTGACCTCAAGTGATCCACCTGCCTCAGCCTCTCAAAGTGCTGGGATTACAGGTGTGAGCCACCACACCAGGCCACAACCTTTCTTTTGTTCATCAGATCACTATAAGGACAAGTTTTATGACCATGCTAAGTTGGCCTTGGAAAAGCCAACCCCTTGTACTAACATTATATAGAGAGACCAAAAAAATTAGTCATCCAGAAAGTTAGTATTCATGCTATCAAGATTCTGAATTCCCTGAATATATTTAGCCTGGTAAGTGGATTTCACTATTGGGAATGTAGGCAGCAGAGAAGGAATTTCATAAATTCAGTGAGTTAGGCATTTGCCTGCAGTGGTCTGGATGGCTAGAGGTTTGGCCCGTTTGGTGTCAGGGGCTGGGCCAATAAGCAAGCCCTTCCTGCGGTCACTTCCATGATCCCCCCGTTATCCTCTTTCCACCAGCCAACTAGAGCAGCATGGACCTGAGACAAAAGGAGCCATCTTAAGCAGGAATCGGGATATACAACAGCTTCCGTGCCTTTCTAGGGTGAAGTAAGACCCTAGCCTGCCCCACAGTTGAGCTTGGCAATGTCAAATCCTCCCTAAGCCTTGTGATTCTGGAAAACAGTGAATGTCCAGGGATTCCAGCACCCTATTGTGTTTTGGAAAAGGGCTTACTGCAAATAACCACTGTACCCATAGGACTGAGATTTACAGATACCTGTCCCCTGGTTTACCTAGGACAAGTTAAGACAAGGGAGACACAGACTCCCCAAATTCCCTTTCTTGATTCATAAAGGAGGAGCTGAACTGCTTTCCTCTGCTGATCTATTGAAATAAATCTTGGTCAAGCTTCTCTTCTTCCCCCAGGTCCTTAAACTTCAGCCCTCCCTCAGCGTTAGCCACCAGGCAGCCTCTCCTGAGAACACACTGGCCTCAAAGTCAAACATTCTCTGATCTGCGATCTGACCCAGACCCTTTCATTCCACTACCTCGCATCCAGTTCTTTCTAGCTTTGTCTTCTTCTCTCTGTAAATGAAAACTCCTTTTCGCAGACCTGATTATCCCAGCATTCACTCTAAGGCAATACCTGCCGCCCCGCTGAGTGCAGTCGTCTCTCTCCCCTCACTCCCTTTACAACAGTCTTTTTGAATGGAAAGAATCCTTTTGGATTTTGAATAAAATCCTAAGTCTAGATTTATTTTTTCCTTGACAAGCTCCTACCTGAACACTAAGCCTGTGTGCGTTTGTGTGTGTGTGTGTGTGTGTGTGTGTGTGTGTTTGCTTGTGCCTACACATGTATAATGTGGGGGGAACCTG